ATTTAATAGTATAAACAGAAAATAAACACAGAAAACTGACTTTTATTGTAGATAGAGGCTTGCGTATTTCACAATGTCCTAAAGACAGAATTTCGCCTCCTGTCAATGCTTGAAGTTCAACAGGCGTCTATCTCCCAGGATTCAACTATCTATAATCCAAGGGTCCAGCACCGAATCCTTGGATTCTGGCGAACTGTGGTGTGTTTCTCTCCAATACAGTTTGTGAAATTTAATGCAGTAAGAAATGGATGAAAAGATATGTATTATGGCATAGGACTTCTGTTTTATAACAGACTCGCACCCCTTCAAAATAGCAGTTAATAACAGTTTATTCTTGTTCAAAATTCAAAGAAAAAGATAAGTCTTTTTGGTTTGAATCTAACTTCTGTTAAAAGAAATCTGAAAATAAAAATAAAAATATTTATTTTATTTTCGGGCTATTTCAAGAGACCCCAATGTGGGACTACATTTGCTTTCAAACTTCCAACAAATGTATGATACTTCTAGTTAATAATTACACCAAGAGATCTATATGCTTTGAGATTCAACATTTTAGGTCAGGACTTGTAGCTGATTTCTTTGTTCCTGACTTGTATTCCTTCCATTCCATATATATTTTTCATATCCTATCGCAGATATTACTCTTGTACAGTCAAAGGTTTATGACAAGAACTAGCACTAGCACTCTTGTGTTCCTTCCACTTTTCTCTTCGTGTGCCCATGTTGCCTACCGAAGTAAGCATAACAGTTCATAGCATCTGTCGCGCAAACTCAGTCGCGCGAAGATCGTAAAGAAAGCCTTTGCGCGACAAACTTTGGGTCATTTCGTCGCGCAACACACTTCGTTGCACCAACAGTTCAGGGACGGCTACTGTTCGTCGCGCAAAACTTTTGCGCGACGAAATCATAAGCGTTGCAAAAAAAAAAACAGTACGACGATTTACCGTCGTCGCACAGACATTTGAGAGGCGGCATAAGAATCGTCGCGCAGATGTTTTGCGCGACGAAATAAAAATTATCGCACAAACATGGTGCGATGATGGACTTTTGTCGCGCAAATACAGGAGCGACAAAATTATGGTCGTCGCGTTTCCTTTACGGGACGACAAATTTTGTCGCGCAAACGTAAATATATTGTTTTACCATTTTTTGTTATACGGGTTTGTATTTTCCTGTAAATAATTTTGCGTGACGACATCGGTTGTTCGTCGCGCAAAATAGTAATTAAATTATTATTATTTTTTTGGGGAATTTTTTTTTTGGTTTATTTATTTTTATAATTAAATGAAATGACAATAAAAAAAATGTAATTAAGAGAAAGTTTTTGTTATAACATAATATAGAGTCAAATACAAGAAAAATGTTTCAAATGTCATGAAGAAAGTAGAAAACTAATCAAACATTGTTTGATAATCTACTTATCTTTTATAATAAATAAAAAAAACCAGAAGCACATATTCCTGAATATATCAAATTGCTGGCCAAATTATTAAAGAGTCGGTATGTGATTACAAAAAAGAGTTGAATAGATAAACCTCGTAATGAAAATCATAAAACAGAAGTAAACTATAGCATGGTTTATTAAACAAGCTACCAAAGTTGTTGGCATATACACAGTGTAGATAACGAGCACAATACACGGACCACAAAATCAAATATTCATCTCAACAAAGCAAAATTACAAAATTGGTTAGTTGCACATATTTTAAATCTGAAATGCAATCAAAATACAAAAAACAGAAAATTACGAAAAGCAATCAACATACAAAAAACAGAAAACAGAAAATTGTGCTCCAATCAAATTTGAAATCTAAAACAAAACCA